GCTAAGAAAGTTTTGTTATGTTTATTAAGTGACCATTTTTCACTCATTCGTGGGTGCGCAGACTTGATTTCATCAATGTGTTGCAAAATGTAAGGAATCACATCGATGATGTTGTTTAAGACGTACAAATGAGCTTGATCAACTTTTATTCTACTAACACTTTCAATCTTCACTCCTCGAACACCCTTACCTTCACATTTAGCTTCATGTCTACTCTCAAGAACTCCTACTGGTTCACAACTTGGCAGATAACTTTAGAAGAATTCAATGATTTCTTTTGCAATGTACCGCTCTATAATTGAAGCTTCCGATCAATAGTGATTCTTGACATATCCCTTTAAAATCTTCATGTATCTCTCAACTAGGTACATCTACCTCAAGAATCTGGCCCACATAATTGAATTTCCCTCATTAGATAAACTATCAAATGAACCATGATATTGAAAAATAAGGTTGAAAAATACATTTTCAATTGATACAATAGTCTAATGGCCTCACTTTCCAAATCATCTCACCCTTAAGCGTTAATAACTTTCTTGCAAATTGCATTAAAAAACATGCTAAAATGTGCTAGAATACCTTTAACAGAAACAGGTAAGATGACACGAACAACTACTGGTAAAAGGTTTTGCATCAACACATGACAATCATGGGACTTTAAGCCCACTAACTTTAAATCTTGTATAGAAGAAACAAGGCTATTAATATTTGAAGAGTAGCCTTATGGAACCTTCACACTACTTAAATACTTATAAAAAATTTGTTTTTCTCTTTTAGAAAGAGTGTGACAGACTGGGGGCAAGTAAAGGCATCTTTCAATTGATTGTGGATATAACTCAGATTAAAGGCTCATGCCAGCCAAATCTTGTCGTACTTTTACTCCATCTTTTGTCTTTCCTTTTATGTGTAGTAAAGTCCCGATGACACTATCACATACATATTTTTCAATGTGCATCATGTCTATACAATGTCGTACATCAAGTTTACACCAATAGAAAAGATTAAAGAATATTGATCATTTCTTCCAAATATTTTTCTCAAGTGTCTTCTTTTTATGTTTTTCGAACACAGTGTCAATGTTTATCACTTGGTTGTATACTTGCTCACAATTGTGGGGTCTCAACACAACTTCATCCTTAGAACGTCCATTAAATGCTTTTTGCATTCTACAATAAGACTGATTTTGAGGAAGAAATTTTCAATGTTTTATATACACATTTTTCTGACCATGCTTCAATTGAATATAACTCAGGTTTTCTTCAAAAATGAGACATGCAAAATGACCTGTAGCCACTCACGTTTCCATATGCTAGGAAATCATTTACGGTGCAAAATAACATTGCATGCAAACAAAATGTTTCTTGAGAATATGAATCAAAGACCTTGACGCCTTCTTCCTACAACATTTTCAAATCATCTATTCATATCTTTAGGTATGCATCAATGTCATTTCCAGGTTCTCTAGGACCCGATATCATCACAAACAACATATATTTTCTCTTTATGCACAATAAAGGAGATGGATTGCAAATCATCAACAAAATTGGCCATGAACTATGGTTGTTACTTAAGTTCCCATAAAGATTCATACCATCTGTAGCAAGTCCAAGTATTAAGTTTCTTGGTTCTACACCAAATTTTGGAAATGTTTACCAATCTTCTTCCATTGTGGGGAATCAGCTGGGTGTTGAAGAAGATTATCACACTTTTTTCATCGATGTGCCATTTAAGGTTCTTCGCATCTTTTTAATGGAAAACAATCGTTTCAACCTAGGTATTATAGGATGGTCTTCCAAAGACATGAAATGAAAGTGATCACTCATGGCCACAATCAAGTTTTCATTTGGAGAGCAACACAAAATGATCTCAACCGAAAGTTTATCAAATTTATGCATAAACTTTAATGTACAGATTTATGAGAAATAACTTTTTCTAACTATTCGATCGGAAAATTCAAGATTTAATACAAGTGATTAAAAGTTAAATCATTTGTACTAAATCTCAAATGTGAACTAAAGTTCACTCAATGTTTAACTATCATTATAATAAATCTTAATACAATTAAAATTATTTAAACATACAAATCTAATAATAAATATAAATTTCATCCTACAAATATTTTAAAAATGTAATAAAAAATAAAATATCAAAACATACACTAAAAATTTGTCTAATATAAAAACAATAATGATAAAGACAAAATATAACCAATACCACATATAAGGAACAAGAGACAAAGTGCAATTAGAATTAAATACAATTTAATCAAATCAAATTCCTAAAAAAATTTGGCTAACTATATGCAAAATGTTGTATCCGAAAATTTGGAAAAGGAAAACACCAAAATCACATCAGTGCGATGATATCGAAAACCAAAATCTAAAAACTAATAGTGAATATTTGAGGGTGGTGTCACAATCGAAGTGAAGGAGTTGACGCCAGTGAGGAAGAAAAGAGAACTTGTCAAGAGAACTCGTCACTGTTCAAAAATAATGTTCATGCACAAAAACAATCTATCAAAATGAAAGAAAATCATACCCAAAGCATCCAAGCAACATTCATTTGCGTTAAATGAAGCTAAAATTACTTTTGGTGGTGGTCGCACTTGTCGCTAGAATAGTTTAAAGGGTTGAGAAGAGAGAGCGCTAAGAAAGAGTGGAAGGGAAATGTTCTCTTGTGCTGTTTTTTAATTCATAAAATACCGTCGAATACTCTAGGGGACCGATGTCATATCACATTAGACGTCGGACAAGTAGGGGGACCAACGTCTAATGGGTGTATAATATTACTTTGGCACTGCATTTTTTAATGATTTAAATAGAATTAGGCGTCAGTCCTTGGGACCATCTGACGTCCAATGTGATATGACGTCAGCCAATTGACTCTTCGACATCATAAGCACTAGTGTAGTCAAGGGAAACGACAGCGGTTATTTTCACACATAGCCAACGATTCCAAAACTTAGGCATATACAGGCGAGGCAAAAAGTCTACCCCTTTTTGCCTCGATTGTAGACCAAAGCAAAAAAGATAAACTTTTTTGTCTCGGTTCTAAGATGACGAAGTAGTAGGATTTTCCTTTTTTCTTTATTTTTTTAAAAGGACTTTTTGCCTCGGTTCTCCTTGAACCGAGGCGGTATCTTGGACTTTTCCAGATTTGTACCCTCGTATCTTTTTCTGCAAAAAATGAAATAATTTTAATTTTCTTTTAAATTAAGTGATATTTTTCACTCAGTTTTATCTCTCTTCTGTTTTTCTCGTTTCCCTCACTTTCTTTGATTGTCTTGTCTTATTGTCTTATAATCCAACAAGATTATGTCTCCCAAATTATAGTTATCAAGGAATAAAAATAAAAATTCTAACTTTTGTGGTAAACTCGCAGCAAAATGAAATATATGCAAATGTTTGCAAATTTCACGGTTACTATATAATAACTCATATGAATGACAACTTTTACAACTTAATCATTTTATTGAATAAAATAATATATAACATATTAAAGAAATTAAATAATTTAAAGGTTCATGAACATGTGATATAATTATAATAATGGCTTTTCTAATATAATAAACAGTAAATTGTTTATAAAAATAATGTGAAGCACAAACATACCAATTAATTTAATTCTATGAAAAATATAAACTAACCATTATATTAAAACTTGGTTTAATACCCCTTATGGTCCCTATTTTTGTCAAGTATGTTCGATTTGGTCCCAGTTTTTTTTTTTATTTAATGTTGTCCTAAAGAATGTAATTTTTGTTCAATTTAGTCCTTTTTGCAAACGACGTTTCAATTGTTAACGACCATTGTTGCAGCTGTGCAATCTTCTTCTGAGATGGCATTTAACTTTTGCCACGTCACCATTCGTTTTCAGGTAGTTTTTCCTGATGTGGTGACACATCCATCGATGAACCTAGTAGTTGGTCTTGGGAAACACTTTCCTTCGAAACAAAACCCTTTCCATGCCATTGCTGGGTTGTGCTGTAATGCTTCAGATTTTCTCTGCTTCTACTCATCCTTATTTTGCTACTCTTTTGCTTAAGTTTTCCCTCTTTGCCAACTTTTGGTACAGGTGTTTCAAACTCAACAAAAGACAAGCCCAAACTATCTTGCTTACTAGTAAACACAAATCCCTCCTTCTCCTTAACTAGGTTTAACTTCTCAAATTTCTCCAACAAATTCGCTCCCATTTCACATTTTCCAAATGTAGTCACAATCTCCAAACTAGGTTTAGCATCAACTTTACTCTTGTGAATATTACTACCAACAGAGTCATTCACATTCAGATTCTTCAACTGACATAAAACTTCATGAGTTGAGTTCTCAGTAGCAGCATTATTACATCTTCCTTTTCTTAATGTTCAATTTCTTCCTCAGGTCATTCCGTAGGTCCGATTCGCTAAAACCTGTTCCACCTTCATTTACAATCTTCAACTTGTTCATCTGTTCAGAGACCGAGATTTTGTCAACACGCGAAGNCACTATCACATACATATTTTTCAACGTGCATCATGTCTATACAATGTCGTACATCAAGTTTACACCAATAGGAAAGATTAAAGAATATTGATCATTTCTTCCAAATATTTTTCTCAAGTGTCTTCTTTTTATGTTTTTCGAACACAATGTCAATGTTTATCACCTGCTTGTATACTTGCTCACAATCTTGGGGTCTCAAAACAACTTCATCCTTAGAACGTCCATTAAATGCTTTTTGCATTCTACAATAAGATTGATTTTGAGGAAGGAATTTTCAATGTTTTATATACACATTTTTCTGACCATGCTTCAATTGAATATAACTTAGGTTTTCTTCAAAAATGGGACATGCAAAATGACCTGTAGCCACTTAGGTTTTCATATCCTAGGAAATCATTTATGGTGCAAAATAACATTGCATGCAAACAAAATGTTTCTTGAGAATATGAATCAAAGACCTTGACGCCTTCTTCCTACAACATTTTCAAATCATCTATTCATATCTTTAGGTATACATCAATGTCATTTCCAGGTTGTCTAGGACCCGATATCATCACAGACAACATCATATATTTTCTCTTCATGCACAATAAAGGAGATAGATTGCAAATCATCAACAAAATTGGCCATGAACTATGGTTGCTACTTAAGTTCCCATAAAGATTCATACCATCTGTAGCAAGTCCAAGTATTAAGTTTCTTGGCTCTACACCAAATTTTGGAAATGTTTACCAATCTTCTTCCATTGTGGGGAATCAGCTGGGTGTCGAAGAAGATTATCACACTTTTTTCATCGATGTGCCATTTCAGGTTCTTCGCATCTTTTTAATGGAAAACAATCGTTTCAACCTAGGTATTATAGGATGGTCTTCCAAAGACATGAAATGAAAGTGATCACTCATGGCCACAATCAAGTTTTCATTTGGAGAACAACACAAAATGATCTCAACCGAAAGTTTATCAAATTTATGCATAAACTTTAATGTACACATTATAGAAAATTATGAGAAATAACTTTTTCTAACTATTCGATCAAAAAATTCAAGATTTAATACAAGTGATTAAAAGTTAAATCATTTGTACTAAATCTCAAATGTGAACTAAAGTTCACTCAATGTTTAACTATCATTATAATAAATCTTAATACAATTAAAATTATTTAAACATACAAATCTAATAATAAATATAAATTTCATTCTACAAATATTTTAAAAATTTAATTAAAAATAAAATATCAAAACATACACTAAAAATTTGTCTAATATAAAAACAATAATGATAAAGACAAAATATAACCAATACCACATATAAGGAACAAGAGACAAAGTGCAATTAGAATTAAATACAATTTAATCAAATCAAATTCCTAAAAAAATTTGGCTAACTATATGCAAAATGTGGTATCCAAAAATTTGGAAAAGGAAAACACCAAAATCACATCAGTGCGATGATATCGAAAACCAAAATCTAAAAACTAATAGTGAATATTTGAGGGTGGTGTCACAATCGAAGTGAAGGAGTTGACGCCAGTGAGGAAGAAAAGAGAACTTGTCAAGAGAACTCGTCACTGTTCAAAAATAATGTTCATGCACAAAAACAATCTATCAAAATGAAAGAAAATCATACCCAAAGCATCCAAGCAACATTCATTTGCGTTAAATGAAGCTAAAATTACTTTTGGTGGTGGTCGCACTTGTCGCTAGAATAGTTTAAAGGGTTGAGAAGAGAGAGCGCTAAGAAAGAGTGGAAGGGAAATGTTCTCTTGTGCTGTTTTTTAATTCATAAAATACCGTCGAATACTCTAGGGGACCGATGTCATATCACATTAGACGTCGGACAAGTAGGGGGACCAACGTCTAATGGGTGTATAATATTACTTTGGCACTGCATTTTTTAATGATTTAAATAGAATTAGGCGTCAGTCCTTGGGACCATCTGACGTCCAATGTGATATGACGTCAGCCAATTGACTCTTCGACATCATAAGCACTAGTGTAGTCAAGGGAAACGACAGCGGTTATTTTCACACATAGCCAACGATTCCAAAACTTAGGCATATACAGGCGAGGCAAAAAGTCTACCCCTTTTTGCCTCGATTGTAGACCAAAGCAAAAAAGATAAACTTTTTTGTCTCGGTTCTAAGATGACGAAGTAGTAGGATTTTCCTTTTTTCTTTATTTTTTTAAAAGGACTTTTTGCCTCGGTTCTCCTTGAACCGAGGCGGTATCTTGGACTTTTCCAGATTTGTACCCTCGTATCTTTTTCTGCAAAAAATGAAATAATTTTAATTTTCTTTTAAATTAAGTGATATTTTTCACTCAGTTTTATCTCTCTTCTGTTTTTCTCGTTTCCCTCACTTTCTTTGATTGTCTTGTCTTATTGTCTTATAATCCAACAAGATTATGTCTCCCAAATTATAGTTATCAAGGAATAAAAATAAAAATTCTAACTTTTGTGGTAAACTCGCAGCAAAATGAAATATATGCAAATGTTTGCAAATTTCACGGTTACTATATAATAACTCATATGAATGACAACTTTTACAACTTAATCATTTTATTGAATAAAATAATATATAACATATTAAAGAAATTAAATAATTTAAAGGTTCATGAACATGTGATATAATTATAATAATGGCTTTTCTAATATAATAAACAGTAAATTGTTTATAAAAATAATGTGAAGCACAAACATACCAATTAATTTAATTCTANATTTAAAATACTGCTTTTGACTACACATTGATTGAATGAAGGAACATGCCTTATTACTTCAATTTTTATAGAGCATGACAGTGATAGATAGCGTAAAATTTCTTGTGAAACTATAGTAAATTATATGGCAACTGGAAGCTTGCTGTAGACATATTAGTTAGTCTTTTCTATCTTTCTTTTTTTTAAATTAAGGCATATTAGTTAATGTTTCACACTACTCTGAATGGTGCTATTCTCTTATTTGGTTGATACAGGTAGAAAATGACGGTAAACCCTGCAGGAAACAATTGATAGACAGGAACCTTGACTTGCATCCTCTGGAAGGGAGTGGTGACATAAAGAGTATAAAAAGTAACATAAACAGAGAAACTAATTTTCTGCCACTTCATATAAAAAGAAAAACTTTAGACGGCAAAAGAACTAGTTCTAGTCCTGTTTCAGAAAAGGGTAGCTCTAGATATTTGTCAACAGAGCATTCTGGATCAACCTTGGGTGTGGAAAGAGGCCATGGAAGAAACTTGCTTGCTGATTCACCAAAGAAACAAACGGCACCAAGTCCTTCTCCTACACCAGCCAGTTCTCCATTATCACCAAGTAATGGTCCAACACCAGCCAGATCTCCATTATCACCAAGTCATGCACCAACACCAGCCACTTCTCCACCATCAACACCACCTCCTACTCCCAAAAAAAAGGATTTACCACTCCCAAAAGATATGTTTGCACCATTTCCACCTCTACCCCCTATAGCTCGTTCTCCTCCCAAAAATTCTAAACCTACAGTCCAGACTCCTGCTCCTCCAACATCTAGCGCTGATGACAAAAAGAAGAAAACAATTATTTTAGCTACCACTTTATCAGGTGTTGTAATCTTGATAGGCTTGTTCCTATGCTATCGTGAGACCAAAAAGAAGAGAAGTGATAGGGATGACAGGCCTTTGCTCGTATTAACCTCGGATGATTATACTGGCGGTATGCTCTTGTTCTTTCTTTCTACATGATTTTAGTAATGTCTTCAACAGTGGTTTTTGTTGAAGTTGATAAACTTATCAGTCGTGACAGTTTATGATATGACAGTGTGAAATATATACTATATTTTCTTTATAATGTATGAAATCTGAAGAGTGAAGAGCAAACTCTTAAGTTGCCAAATCAATTTCTTGAAGACTTGAGTCAGTTTAAATTCTTCTATTTTACAGTTACACATGGTTGTGAAACATTACACTAGGATCAATCAAAGGTTCCATGTTAATTTTTTTTTCTTCAGGTACAAGGAAGGTTGTTCAATTAGGAAATTCTAGAAGGGATGAATATGGCATTGGCGATGGAAAGAACCCTTCTCATGTTAGAAATTTGTCCAGTAGGAAGGGTGTAGATGTCAACGTCTCAATGGTTGACATAGCATCATCATCATCAGAAGGCGGAAGAAAACTAACAGTATCCCCTAGTGTAAAGTCTGACCCTCCTCCTCCTCCTCCTCCCCCACCTCCTCCTTCTTCTTCTTCTTCTCTTCCTCCTCCTCCTCCCCCTCCTCCTCCTCCATCTTCTTCCTCTTCTTCTACTCCTCCTCCTGGCCGTACTGCTGGACCACCACCACCACCTCCTCCCGCTAATCGTACACCGCCGCCCCCAAAAGGTGCTCATGCTCCGCCAGCTCCTCCCAAACCAGTTGGAGGTGCGAATCATGGACCACTACTTCCTAAAGAAGGAAGTTCAAATGACGGCGATGCTCAAGCTCCAAAACCAAAACTAAAGCCATTTTTTTGGGATAAGGTTAATGCAAAGCCTGGCCAAACAATGGTGTGGCATGAGATCAGTTCGGGATCATTCGTGTAAGATCATTAACTCTTGTCAAAGATAAAAGTATAATTTGAATGAACAAAGTAGAACATATATACCAGAAAAATTGCTTTCACTGATTTATCTTTGCAATAACTTCTCAGGATCAATGAGGAAATGATGGAGTCTTTATTTGGCTGCGCCAACCAGAACAAGAATGATCGCAAAAGAGATTCATCCTTAGAAAATTCAGTGCAATATATTAAGCTTATTGATCCTAGGAAAGCACAGAACTTGTCAATTCTTTTGCGAGCTCTGAACGTCACAACAGAAGAAGTTGTCGATGCTCTTGTAGAAGGTGACTCTCTTTCTCTCCTAGGAATGCTGAAATGAAAGGGCAATTAAGAAATGCTGCCAGTGATATAAAACTTAAGCTAACTAGCTCTAATTAAGATTAAATTGGGTTTATGTGTATGGTTGTTAATTTCTATTGAACTTTTGAATTTAATTGATATCTGGATTTGCACACGGATGATATTCCTGATGAATTTATTCCCCTGATCACTTAAATTTCAGTTCTGTTAATTAACTTTATTCGCTGTTCATTTGACATGTATGTGTTCATGATACCAATAATTTCAAATACTCTACTCTTTCATTTGCATGTTCTTTAGAACAGGATATACATTGACTCTGAATCGATGATAATTATTTGGGAATGTGTCAGGACTCATATTGAAGTTACATTCATAAGGGTGTTCTCTGGTTATGGTTTGCTTCATTGGTTTTAGCATTAAAAGAATCCAAAAATGTTAAAATTTTGTAGCGTTTGCATGAGATTAAGATTTGCATTTCTTGGGACGAAGTAGTTACAATATGTTGGTTGAATCAGGAAATGAGATTCCTATTGAGCTGATACAGACGTTGCTGAAGATGGCACCTACACAAGATGAGGAACTGAAGCTAAGGCTATTCACAGGACAACTGCATGAACTAGGCCCAGCAGAGAGGTTTCTCAAAGTGTTGATTGAGATACCATTCGCTTTCAAACGTCTTGAATGTCTGTTGTTCATGCATAACCTTCAAGAAGATTTCTCAAGCATTAAGGAATCCTTTGCCACGTTAGAGGTAAGACCAAGGACATGTTTGCTATTTGTGTCCCATGTGGTCACGTTATAAGTCCATAAAGGCTTACGTAGTTGTTGCATGACAATGGCAGGTGGCAAGCAACGATCTGAGAAAAAGCAGGCTATTCCTGAAACTCCTAGAAGCAGTTCTGAAAACCGGCAACCGTATGAATGACGGAACCTACCGCGGCCGTGCGCAAGCATTCAGGCTCGACACCCTCCTCAAACTCTCCGACGTCAAGGGAACAGACGGCAAGACCACGCTCCTGCACTTCGTCGTCGAGGAGATCATCCGCTCCGAGGGAATCCGCGCCGCGCGCAACGAAAGAGCCAGCCGGAGCATCTCTAGCGTCAACACCAGCGACGAATCCGACGAGGGCGAGGAGTCCGAGGAGCACTACCGCAGCGTCGGCCTCCAGGTGGTGTCGAGCCTCGGTGCGGAACTCGAGGCCGTGAAGAAGGCGGCGCTGATAGACGGCGACGCGCTCACCACGACGGTGTCGAAGCTGGGGCACTCGTTGGTGAAGACGCAGAATTTTCTTGACACGGAAATGAAGAACATCGCGGAAGAGAGCGAGTTCCAGAACAGCATGGAGCAGTTCATGGTAAACGCGAGGAAGGAGGTGATGTGGATGGTGGAGGAGGAGAAGAGGATAATGGCGCTGGTTAAGAGCACTGCCGATTACTTTCACGGCAATGCCGGGAAGGATGAAGGTTTACGTTTGTTCCTAATCGTACGTGATTTCTTGATCATATTGGACAAGGTTTGCAAAGAAGTGAGGGACACGACCATGACGCCGGCGAAGGCTCCCACCACTACCAAGAAGAAGCCTAAGACTCCTACGGCTTCTTCCCCTAACGCGCGTAATCCAGATTCGCCAAAGCCATCCACTAATCTCCACAGTAAGCTCTTTCCTGCCATTGCTGGGAGGAGAATGGATTACTCTAGCTCTGATAGCTCCGATGATGACGACGACTAACTTCCACTTTCATATATTGATATGAATATGATCTAAACTCACATCAAAATGGCACCAGTTGAAGGATTTATTGGTCTTTTCTTTTTATATATTGTGGTGTTGTTTTGTAAATTGAGCCATAGAAAAGGGGAGGGTCGATTTAGCTTTGTGGTTTGTGACTGACTTTGACTACAAAGCCTGTTGTTGTACTGCTTCATCTCATGCAAAGTTAAGGAAACAAAGCGTTGTTCATGGGTTTCGGTAAGCTGCCTCTGATTATCTGAAGGGACATGTGTATTGATTATCGTAGCATTTCAGTGTGGACTCCTGATCAATGCTTAGTATGGTTTTGTTCTTCGAAGTTCTAAAGTTTTTCTTGTCTAACCTTTTACATGGAAACCAAACAAGATTACGAGAATGCAGTTCTGGTGTGAATTTGTTGCTTGTCTTTCTCTCTACTTTTTCAAATGCTTTTGTTTAGCTGATGTTGGAAGCAAAAACACTAAAAAGAGCATTCGAGTCTATTGTGGCACCTCTGGATTTCTTTTGTTTATTAGTCTGTCTGAAAATATCTTTTTAACAATTTTGTTTACAGTTTTTTTACAACAACTAGTATCGATTTCAAATATACGGACTGTTGTCAAAATTTATTAAAAAAAAGTTGTTAAAATATCTTCTGAAAAATCTAAACAATAGGAATGGCAATAATAGACCCTTTTTGTTCTGTCCTTTTCCTGCGTCCCATGATCTTGTTATGAGTTGCTCCATATATGTTCGGTCTGTAACGAACGAAATTGTTCTAGCCATTGGAACATTTTAGATATTATTGTGTTCTGGAATAACTTACAAATACATTCAGAAATGTCTATCACAAACAATCCAAAAAATGAAAGCTTAATATTGCAAGGGTTGAACAATAAAATATAAACAGAAGAACAAAAATCACACACAAAAATAAAATAACCTGAGTTGACTAAAGTAGGCTTAATACCTATTATGGTCCCTATTTTCGTCAAGTGCGTTCGATTTGGTTCTGGTTATTTTTTTCTGTTCAATGTTGTCCAAAAGAATGTAATTTTTGTTTAATTTAATCCGTTTTACAAACAACATTTAAATCGTTAACGACCACCGTTCCAGCTGTGCAATCTTCTTCTGAGATGGCATTTAACTTCTGTCACGTCACCATTCGTTTTCAGCCAGCTTTTCCTGATATGGTGACACATCCATCGGCGAACCCTGTAATTGGTCTTGGGTTGTGTTGTAATGCTTCAGATTTTCTCTGCTTCTACTCATCCTTTTTTTGCTACTCTTTTGCTTAAGTTTTCCCTCTTTGCCAACTTTTGGTGCAAGTGTTTCAAACTCAACAAAAGACAAGCCCAAACTATCTTGCTTACTAGTAAACACAAATCCCTCCTTCTCCTTAACTAGGTTTAACTTCTCAAATTTCTCCAACAAATTCGCTCCCATTTCACATTTTCCAAATGTAGTCACAATCTCCAAACTAGGTTTAGCATCAACTTTACTCTTGTGAATATTACTACCAACAGAGTCATTCACATTCAGATTCTTCAACTGACATAAAACTTCATGAGTTGAGTTCTCAGTAGCAGCATTATTACATCTTCCTTTTCTTAATGTTCAATTTCTTCCTCAGGTCATTCCGTAGGTCCGATTCGCTAAAACCTGTTCCACCTTCATTTACAATCTTCAACTTGTTCATCTGTTCAGAGACCGAGATTTTGTCAACACGCGAAGAAGTATTAGTAGCGAACACAAACTTCCAATGGCATGCGGCGTCTAAACCTTCACGGATTTTGAGATTCCGAAATCGATTGTCGATTGGCGACATTGGCGGTAGCACCGTTGCGAAATGGGTTGAAAACGGGGCGTTGTTGGGATTCCAAACCTAGACGAATCTGGGCCAGGACAGGCCCAAAACGGAAGAGGTGCTACTGAACGTGAAACCTGAGGTTGGGGTCGTCGCGTTCGCTTTTGGATTCGAAAACCTATTATCGTCACTAGCGTTGGGCAATTCCATTGGTTGGCTCGGTCGTTTTGGATTTTCGATAATCCAAATCAAGGACAAAGGAGGTGTGGTGCCCTAGTGAGACGGAGCAAGTCGCTGGAGACGCATCATAATCATCGAAGTAGTGATTGAATCGACGATTCTTCTTTGTCGGGTTTCAGTAATCATTGGAATGCAAAGCAACAAAATATGTCTACTCTAAATTCAAAATTAATAGCAGCTAATAATTAATTTCTACGATGGCGGTGGCGGTGGCTTTAGGGTTCGGTGGCGGCGCTAAGGTTAGAGAGAAAGTAGGGTTTCCGTTTCTGTTTGGGCTGAAGATTGAAGAAGATGGTGATGTGGCAGAAGTTAAATGTCATCTCAGAAGAAGATTGCACAGCTTGAGCAATGATCGTTAACGATTTAAACGTCGTTTGCAAAAAGGACTAAATTGAACAAAAAATACATTCTTTAGGATAACATTGAGCAGGAAAAAAAATTGGGACTAAATCGAACGCATTTGACGAAAATAGGGACCATCAGGGGTATTAAGCCTTAAAACTTTCATCCAAGTTAGATTGGTAAAATTTAATTTTCATAAAATGTTGATAATAATGTATGTTTGTCGAGAGATCAACACTTCCTGTCAACTAATCCCATCCTAATTACAACTCCAAAAACATACTCGGCAATATGAGTAATGGTAGCCCTGCTTCACCAGCAGCCCCAAACAGTCAGCACACTCAGTTGCCATGGTTCCACAACTCTCAAAGCAAGTGGTGCAATCAGTCCACATACAAAGAGTGCCAGGAAAATGACAGTCTGCACAAACTCTGCAACAACATCATTCAACACAAAAAGTTAAACTTTTGAATCACAGACTTGCTTCTTCATACACAACATTGCAAGTTCCTCCTTTTCAGCTTAGCATAAGCAACCATGATTAATTAGAAACTTAATTTATATATCTTTGAGTAAAAGTTCTTAAAAGAAGGATCTGAAATATAGCCTAAATTAAATCTTATATATTGCACTCCTAGCAAAATTTTTGGCATCCTAAAATGAAACAAGAAAACAAGCATTATAATGAAGCCTTATGAAGATGCTAAGAGTTCCATTATGTGTTCTAACAATGACAGAGGCTTTGGAATATGTAAAATCAAGATTACTACCCAAGTTGACAGCAACAAAGACATAACTCTCTACAAGGTTGAGCTAAATCATTGCGAACTCTTCTTTTATAATAAGTAATGAAGCACCCAGATAAGCCAAGTAGTGTGAAAAATAATAGAGCTCCTGCATTAGAAATTACCAACAAAAAATTAACCAAAACCAATATCTTTTTGACTTTGGAACAACGAAACATTAAACTCAAGGCAATGGACTAAATAATTCACAAAAGAAATATTGCATTACCATGTTGATGACACAATTAAAGTTAATCGCAATTTACCACATATGTAGTAAAAGCTCATTTCACTATCAAAACCCCAGAGAAGACGAAGCCAATATTGTTGATAATCATCAATTAAATAAACCAAATATGTTAGTGATGCAATGACCTGCATAAGCATTGAAGGGGTTGAATCAGATTAGCTATACGCACTCACAAAGTACAAATGGACAAGTATATACATGGCTAGACAAATAGAAACAAATCACCTACAAGTTGAACAGACAGAAAAATAAGCAGAATGTCTTTGGTGACAGAAAAACTGAAATTTCAGGTTACGCCATTTCCTATCAGCAGCAACATGAACACGCAAATGGTAAGGAGCCTTTCCTGTTGTATAATGAGCAAAGGCAAACCCTTCCTGAGGTGGCGGATGACCGTGGAAGAACGACGTTGGATCTAGCGGGGGAGATTCTAAAGGCGACGCCGAAGGGGAATGTTGCAGTTCGGGCTCAAGATTGGGCTTTAGAGTGGTTAGGGTTTTGGAAGGGGCTCCGTTCGAGTACGCCAAGTTTGAGTGGGTGAAGGAGCTTGTAAGAGACTACGAGGTGGCAGAGGCTTCTGACTCGTTTCCTCGTAGAACCGAGGCAATATAGTGGGTCAGCAGCGTTTTGTGCCTCGGTCTCCTGAATAACCGAGGCAATATATTCCCTTACGAGGTATATAATGTCTCAAATATTACAGTTTTCCCACCGCATTCTTATATGCTTCAGTTTTCCAAAAACCAAAGCACAATGGACGATTTAAAATACAGATTTTGCACTAGTGAAGGATACAAGAAAGGTCTTTTCAGGAAGATTTTATTTAATTATTTAAAAATTATTAGACGACTAGTTGACTATTCGACGTCTAATGCATTATGACGTTGGCTCTTTGATTGTCCGACGTCAAACTCTTCGAAAACATTCTTTTCCAGCTAGTTTTTTAAAATTTTTAATAAGAATTAGACTTGAGTTCCCCTTGAGCAAACATATGAAGGACATATGACGTCGCTCTATGAAAGGTCCAATGTTTAATTGGTCATTTTATTTAAAAAAAAATATCACTAATCATTTTTTAAGTTAACTATTTTTTAGTTGAAAGTTAACGTTGAATATTAGACGTTAAAAACCCATTTATAGTGGAGTCACTTATCTATCCAAGAACTTCATCAATTTGAGTCGCCGAATGGTGGCAAGAACTTATTGGTGTCAAAGAAGAAAATTGTCATCATCAAGTTTTAGAGAAATTGGGATATGAAAAGTATGAGGAAAAAAATTGGAAGAGGAAGGAAATGAATCAGAGTTGATAGTGGCGGAAGATGACGAACTCATGGAGAAAATTTTCGCTCTAAATACCATATAATTAAGGAGAAAGAGGCAAAAGGGTGCAAAAGGAACAAAATATTTATTTTATTATTAGTGATTAAAAACAGAGAGAAGAAGACTTATATAAAGAAGAATATAACTGAGAAAACAATTATCAATTATACAGACAGGTTAACCTATGTAACAATGCTCACAAACCAACCGGGTATTTATAATAACTAGTTTAAAATAAGCAAAAGATAAGTATGATGAATTTCGTTACATGAAAAGTAAAGTATGGAGACCCGTGTTTATTCATTTCTCTTAATTGTCTCTCTTATTTAATAAGTGGAGACACATTAAAAGATAAGATCGGACATTAAATCTCAAAACAATAAAAAGAATTCTTTTTAAAATACTTAGGATTTCATTTGAATAAATTAGGTTGCCAACTACACATGGATCACTGTAAATATAAGAAATACAGTAAGAGTATGCTGTTTTACCAGATACCTTTTCATAACTATTTACAAGGGACTGTATGCTCCATCAGAATGGTTGAATATAATTCTCATTTATTGTCATTGCATGAATTTGATTACTTATTTGAAACAAATTAGTTAAGCTTCTGTACATATAATTGTGCTTTTATTTATATTTTTTTGTTAGGTTAGCTGTGATTTCCGCATTGCATTCTCAGAGGCGGAGGGAACAATGATGATACAAATATCATGAACAAAAGTTTATTCTAAGTCTCTTTTTTGTTGTTTGAAATGCTTGAAATACAAATATACATGGCCATCTATTGTATGGGATTAAGTTAGTTATATTCTGTATGCATGTTAGTCCTGAACTTAAAGTACTTTGAAGATTGAACTTCGTAACAATGTCATGTCTGCAACACCTTAAAAATGTGTTTGAATTGAGACTTTAAGATCATCCATTATTTACTGCTTTTAGGAATTTAGTCCTTTATTTTTAATTTTCTACCCCTGTTATTTTTAAGTTTTATATTCTTTGTATATTTTGGGGGTCATGGCTTTGGAAGCGGTGGGCAGGGATATATTTGTATTTCATCACAGAGAGATATATCTCTATCAGGTTTCAAATAGACCTGCGTGAGGGTGACTGCGAGTAAAATGTTAGGAAAAGGCAATGTACTATAGTTATATATTCGAAGTTGCAGAAAGGTCATGTTATTGAAGGTGGTGAGAACCACCAAAGGTTTGATAACTTGAGGCTGTGAATTGAATTAGGTGTTAATTATTGTAGTTATCTCATACCCTTGTGGAGACTAAGTAAGAATATAAAGGAAAGGAGAGGAAGAGTAAACGAGATAAGGGATAAGCTGTACATATTACTTATCCGCAAAAATGGATATTTGTAAAAACGATGTGGCTTATATTATTATTTTAACCGTTGTTGATAAAGAAACATGAGCTCTCATGGGGTGTCTTCTAGGATTATAATGTCAAATGGATTCTGTGAGAGTGTATGTTCTATGATATCTGTCATGTATTTTCGTAATGCCTTATGTTTAAGGGAGTAGAATGGACTTCCGAAAATACGTTAGTTTTTGGATCTGTCTTACTCCTTGTTATCTATTAGAAAGCTGGTTTTGTGGGGTTGAGTTAGGCTTTAAACCCACTTTCTAACATGGTATCAGAGAAGGTTCTCTGATCTTCTTCCGGGGTCTTTGCTGTCTGCCGGCGGCCGGCCGCCATGGCCACCGGCAGCCCCTAAAATTTCAATAGGCAGCCCTTTCTCTTTTTCTTAAATCTGTGCCACAGTCAGCACCAGTGTAACCAGTCGTCTCTATCGTCGACCATCGCCGCTATCCACCACCGACCACCGCTGCAGTTTTAGCCGGTAACCTGCGGATCTGGACCGTCTCTTCGAGCGACGGCCAACCACGCCGGTTTCGAGAGCCACTTCTCAATCACGCGCCGCCACGACCATCAGATCTCTCCCATCGTCGCCGACCGCCGTCACAGTTTCGATCGGTGACCAGCGGATCTAAAGCGTCTCCTCGAGCGACGGCCAACCCCGCCGGAGTGAAGACCAGACTCCTCTCCACGCGCCTCCATCTGTCGCCTTCCTTCAGTCAATCTCGGGTGCGTGTTTGTCACGTGCCACCGTCTCGCTGGCGATCGTCACAGTTTCGACCGTTGTCCAATGGATCTGGACCATCTCTTCAAGCGCGACCTAACTCTGGTGGTTGCCGTCTCTGTCTCGTCCGCATGCGCCGTCACGCGCCTCCTCTCTTCGGTAGATCTCGGACGCGTGTTCATCACGCGCCGCCTTCTCGGCGTCGGCACCAAACCACGCCGCTACCGGTCTTCTCGCCGGACCTCTCTCTCTGTTCAAACTATCCAGAGAAGCCATTGCTGCCATCTTCGTCTGTCTTCGTCTCCGCCGTTGATGGTCCAAGCACGTTTTCCGTTGTCCAGGCGTCGTTTGCCGCTATCCAGGCGTCGTTTGTCGTTGTTTGACATCGTTTGTCGTTGTTTGGTGCCATTTGTCGTTGTCCATCTAGCACTGTTTTGCCACTGTGAGGAGTTGTAGAAGTTTGTCACCATCAACTTCTGTTTTCGAAGTCGTTCGTCATTGTCTGTCGCTATCCGCTGTCGACCACTGTTCGCTGCCAACCACCGTCTATTGTCCTTCATTGCCATCTGCTACCACAGTTTAGTCCGACGACTAGTGATATGGATCGCCTCCTTGAGCGAGAGGGCTAGTTCACATCCTGGCGCCACCATGTGCGCCACATTTGTTCGACGTTCGTCTCTGCCATTGTCACATTTTCTCTGGCGAAGTTAGGGATTTTGTGCGTCATGAGGAGTGCGACCCATCCCTAGTCGTTGCCTCATTCTCATCTTGTCATGCACGACTTCTCTCCGATAAGCTTTCGACGCTTGTTTGTCACACGCCACCTTTTCGGTGTCGGAATCACATGACATCATTGTCGTTTGATGAATAAAAGAGACCATCAAGATCTTTCACCTTCACGATTTGTCATCGGCGGCGTCATCATTTTCGTCGTTTGTTGTGGGGGGGAGTATGCTTCCAACCACTGTAGGCCCCATCACCTCATCAGTTAGTGATGGCAGTCCCTGTAGTTTTGTTTCCACCAGTGGCGCGGAGCCTGATATGAAGAGCAGTTATGCCCAACTCCTTGCATCTGGTAGCAACATCTTGTGCTGCAAGCATAGCAGCATAAGGAGATGATTCATCTCTATCAGCTTTAACCTTCATCCCACCAGTGATACGGACAAGTGTTTCCCTTCCATACAAATCAATGACATGAATGAAGGTGTCATTGAAGGAGGCAAAGATGCGAGCGACGCCAAAGACATGCTCACCGTCTCTAACGGCTGGACCTAGAGTCACATTTTCTTCTTTTGGCTCTTTAACCTTTCTCCTCGACATGATTGTTGGTCCTCTGAAACAAACGGCCCCATCACCTCGTCAGTTAGTGATGGCAGTCCCTGTAGTTTTGTCGCTTCTAGCCACTACAGGCCCCATCATTCAATAATGGCAATTTAGTCCCTACAGGCTTCCAACCACTATAGGCCCCACCACCTTGTCAATTAGTGATGGCAGTCCTTGTAGTTTTGTTGCGTCCAGCCACTACAGGCTCCATCAGTCAGTGATGGCAATTTAGTCCCTACAGTGAGGGGGTTTCGCCTCTGTGTTGTTGTTGGTTCCTTTTTCTCACTAGATTTTCCGCAGTCGGCACCAGCACAGTCAATCGCCGCTGTACTACCGTCTCAGACAGACGCAATTGTGTCAGTTCTTCTTGTGCTAGAGTTTAGCCCGATCTTCTTGTGATACACTACTAAGTATCACCACTTGGGAGTTGTCCAGCAAAGAATTTTGGACCTCCAACATGTCTTTGGATCTTTGATGCCTTTATTTCAGCATTGTAGCTTAATATTTTGTTTTGTTTTAGTGGTCCAGCAACTGTGATATTCCACATTTCCGCCCTTCACACTAAGGGGGAGTACGTTTCCAAGACACTGCAAGTCACATAAACATGGGTGTAGTCCCTGTAGTTTTGTAGATTTCAGCTACTACTGTTGATTCCGTCACCCAGCCATCATCGATGAGGATTTAGTGTAGTCCCTGCAGTTTTGTAGCTCTTAGCTTTCAGCTACCACTGTTGATCTCGTCACTCATCCATTATTGATTGGGAATCAGTCCTTGCAGTTTATCATTGTCCACCACTGCTTTCCTTCATCCGCTTTTGAAGTTGATGTTTCACAAGTTGCTGTTAGTCCATCTATGTTTGCCTCACACTCTTGAAGACAAATAATCTAGTTCAACACTGCGCTCATCTATTCCAAGCTTAGTTTATACAATTTGTATGCTTCAGCTTAAGAGGGAGTGTTAGAATTATTGGTTATTGTGTTTAAGTTGTGTTTAAGTGTATGTGAGTTGTGAGTGTGTATGTGTTGTATCTGAGTGTGTGTGAGGTGTGTTCCATTCACTTAAACACAATAACCAATAATTCTAACATTATCAATCATATCGGAATGTTAGGGGTGGACCAAATTGAAATTCATTCATGTTTTAAACTTTGATTTAATTTGATGTGAAAACTAACAGAGAAATGATAAAGTGAAATGAATAGAACTTTAATCCTCATTATTCCAACATAACAAAAGAGTCACATAATGCTCAATATATATTCAGCATATCTTGAGCAAAACGAAAGAGAATAAAAAGGAAAAGAAATACAACCTGGTCACCACTCACTAACTGAAAATAAAATATCTTGCCAACTAATATAACAAACATATCAAAAGCACAAAAATGATATTTCTCACACTCTCCCTCAAGATGGGTGGTGAATGTTCAGCAAGCCCATCTTGAATAAATTAATGTTGAAAGGTCCGGGATAGAGTGGTTTAGTGAACATATCTGCCAGTTGATGCTTCGAAGGAACATGAGAAAGAACAATGAGCCCATCAAGAACCTTAAGGTGACAATCCACTTCAATATGCTTGATGAGTTCATGAAAGGAAGGATTCTTGGCCAGTTGAATGGCAGATTGATTATCACAAAATGTAGGGAAAGGAAGTGGAATTTGAAGACATAAATCATCCGCAACATATTTCAGCCATTGCAATTCACAAGCAACAAAGGCTAAAGCTTTATATTCAGCTTCAATAAAGCTCCTGGACACGGTGGATTGCTTCTTTGATTTCCAAGATATAAGACAACTCCCATAAAATACACAATAACCAGTGGTGGATTTTTTAGAGATGCAACAAGTAGCCCAATCTAAATTAGAAAAAGCTTGAAGTCTGTGAGGATTGTTGGAAGGATAAAAAAGACCTAAGCCAAGACAACCTTTGAGATATTTCAAGATTCTGAAAACAGCATTAAGATGAAAGGATCTGGGCTTGGACATGAACTGACTAACTTGCTGGACAGTAAAAGAAATATCAGGTCGGGTGTTAGATACTACAGCTTACCAATTAATCTACTATAAGGAGTAGGGTCTGGAAGAAGATCATCATCATCATTCTTGAGCTTATCAGTAGGGTTCGAAGGATAAGGTGCTGGTTTGCAGCCAGTGAGACCAAATTCGGCTAAAATTTCTAAGCAGTATTTTCTTTGATTCAAGATAAGACCCTATCGTGATCTAGCAACTTCAAAACCAAGAAAATATTTGAGATTGCCCAAGTCTTTGATTCTGAATTCTTGATGTAAAAATTTCTTAACATCAACAATATTCGCCATGTTATCACCAGTTAAAACGATATCATCCACATAGATCAAAAGAGCAGTAAAAGAAGTAGCAGATTGTCTAATAAATAAGGAATGATCAGCGGGACTTTGAGAAAAACCATGAGAGATTAAGGAAGCTGTAAGTTTAGAGTTCCATTGTCGAGAAGCTTGTCGAAGCCCACATAAAGACTTGTGTAATTTAGAAACCAAATGAGGTTCCGAAAGAATCAATCCCGGGGGAGGTTTCACATAAACCTCTTCATCCAAATCACCACACAAAAATGCATTATCAAAGTCAAGCTGGTGTAAAAATCATTTACGAGAAATGACAATGGAGAGAAGAAATCTTATGGTTGTGATCTTCACAACAGGTGAAAAAGTTTCAAAGAAATCCATGCCTTCAGTTTGTGTGAACCCTTTGGCAACAAGACGTGCCTTATATCTCTCTATATCCCCAGCTGCATTCAATTTAGTCTTGTAGACCCATTTGCAACCAACATCTCTTTTCTTTGGTGGCAATCGGACCAATGACCAAGTTTTATTCCTCTGGATAGCCTGAATTTTCGCAAGCATGGCCTACTGCCAATGAGCATGTTGACAAGCCTCTTTAAAAGAAGAAGGCTCAATGATGGTAGATAAAGACATGCAAAAAACTGTGTGAGAGTTAGAACATTTGGAATATTACAAGTATGATTGTAAAGGATAAGCTGTGGAGCTAGAAGTAGGAGCAAAAGAAACAGTGGAACAATCATAATCAGACAAATAAGCAGGGGGCTTCCTAAGTCTATTTGAAGTTCTACCAGGTGGAACAACAGCTTGCACAGTATCATTAGAATCATCATTGAATTCCATAACTAGTTCAACAACAGTAGGATTATTATTACTAAGGACAACATCCGAAGTAATATGAGAATCATTGCAAGTATTAAAGTATGAACCACGTATATCAAAAGCAATCAAATAATCAAATGATTGTTGAGATGCAACAGTACCAGTGGTATGGTGATGTGAAACAGGATGGGGAGAAAAATATGGAAATTGAGACTCATAGAAAATAACATTGCGATAGAGCAAAAAATGTTGTGTAGTGAGATCATATAAGAGAAAACCTTTGACGCCTGATTTAAAACCAAGAAAAATGCACTTAGAAGTTCTTTTGTCTAATTTGGTTCTGCCAGAAGTAATAGTGTTTGCAAAGGCTAGACAACCAAAGACTCTAAGCATTTTAAAATCAGGAGTTTTTCTAAAAACAATTTCATAAGGAGATTTTCTTTTAAGAAATGGAGTAGGGAGTCGGTTTATGATATCAACAGTATAAAAACAGCATACAACATCGAATATTTTTGGCCTTTCACGTCGAATTCGAGAACGACGTCATATCGGGAGACGTTAAATTGATGTCGAATTTAAAAAATTCGACGTTAATTTAACGTCGAATTTTGTCAATATACGACGTTAATTTAACGTTGAATTTTGAACATATACAACGTTAATCAATTTTTATTTTAGTTTTTTTAATTAATTGTAATCCTTTTTAACAACTCTACAAAACCTGAAAAGTAGAACTATGAACAGTAATATAGGATCAACAACAAATAACAATAACAAACAACAAACAAGTTTAATCAAACAACAACAACAACAAACAAGTTCAACCAAACAACAAACAAATTCAACAAAAAAAAACAACAAGTTTAACAAATAAGTTCTTCAAAACGAAAACGAAAACTAACCTTCAAAAGGTGGGTTCATCGGAATAAAGTGTTGTCACTAGTGAGAGAGAAAGCAAAATGCGCCTATGCAGGACAAGAACACGAAAATAATCGGTTAAAGCAAACAAAAATCATACCTAAAGTAGTTAATTAACATGCATTTGTATCAAATGAAAGAAAAATTACATGTGATGGTCGTCAAACTTCATTCGAGAAAAGTTTGAGCAGAGAAGAGGGTCTCGCGTGCTAAGATAAAGTAATGAATTTTCAATCTCCCGCTCAAATTTCTATTGAATTCACTGGCCTTTTAACATCTAACGTTGAGGCATTCGACGTTTTATATCCTCTTACATTGAATTATACTTTTAAACGACGTTTAATAATTGCATTTATTTACAAAATTGCCACCGGTCATTTTTAACGTTGGTTATTTAGTGGTTATACGTTAAACGCGCGACGTTATACACTGTTTTTCCACTATTGTATGAACAACATGTCTTATAGCATAGGACTAAAAAATAGAAGGTAAATGAGATTGGAAAAGTAAGGCGCGAGCTACATTCAAAATATGTTGGTGTTTGTGCTCAATTATTCCATTCTATTCAATGCATGATGTTTCATGAAAAATGCCTTTAGAGGAGAAGAAATCAGTTAAGAAAAACTCCTTTCCATTATCAAACCTTAGTCTTTTAAGTTTAATGTCAAATTGATTTTCAATTAGAAGTGTGAAATTGGGAAGAACAATTTTGACCTCGGCTTTTGATTTTAAAAGATAAACCCATGTGAATCTACTGAAATCATCAACGAGTGTTAAGAAATATTTGTGACCATCAATAGAAACATTGGTTAAGGGTCGCCAAATGTCAGCATGAACCAATTCAAACAATTGAGAACTCTTGGAGGTGCTAAGAGTAAAAGGTAATTTCTTATGTTTGGAAAAATGACAAGTGTCACATGGAGCACAACTTTTGTATATAATATCAGTATGT